AACTCAGGTAGCCTCTCAGTGGGGCCTCTCCATAGCACTTTCCATAGTTTTAATAGTACCTATATCTTTGGAATTATCTGGATAAATCTCTCTCTCTTCCCAATTACACTCTGAGTTCCATGGGGGCTGGACCATGCTTGTTTTTGTCCAGAGTGAATCCCTGGTGTCTAAAATGTGCTCAATAAAATCAGAGTAAGTCTCAGTGGCTTCTAGGGAGTTCATGTATAGCATTTAAAGAATAAGGCTGCAGTGGCTCATGCCTGTAATCCCAGCACTTTGGGAGGCTGAGACAGGCAGATCATGAGGTCAGGAGTTCAAGACCAGCCTGGCCAACATGGTAAAACCCACCTCTACTAAAAATACAAAAATCAGCTGGGCATGGTGGTGCACGCCTGCAGTCCCGGCCACTTGGGAGGCCGAGGCAGGAGAACTACTTGAACCTGAAAGGCAGAGCTTGCAGTGAGCCAAGATTGTGACACTGCACTCTAGATAGAGTTAAGACTCTGTCTCAAAAAGTAAATAAATAAAATGCCAAATACCTTATTATATTTTACAAGATAGTACCCAACTTGTAGTTTAGAGGTGACATATATATATCTGGAATTCAAAAGAATGCTTGGGAATATAAGCTTTGGAGCAGGCAGAGCTGAGTTTAAATCCTGACTTGAGCATTCTGTGGTGTTAGTTAACTAACCTGTCTAAAGTCTTCATTTTGTCATCTGTAACAAAAAAACAAACACTTTGCCAGTTGTTGAGAAGATGAAATGATATGTGCAAAGCGTCTTGGACACAGTCCTTGGCACACAGCCCCAACAAAACGTCCCACTGTCAACTATCACAAATAGAAAATTCTTACAACTGACAGAAAATGTTAGGTCTGTTCATAGCAAATACTGGTCGAGACGTGAGTATTTGAACCACTGAACCTGTAGACAGATATATCCAGCTTGGGTGTTCTTCCTCATTGCATGAGTCAATCAGAACTATGTTGTAACTGCATTAAATTTGCATTTATAACTTTTTAAAATGCTTGATTGAAGATTCATCAAATTCAAAGTACCTCAACATACTAAATGAGGCCACATGGCAAAGACTGCATGTGGAAATGTCTGCAAACTGGATGGCTTTCCCCATTTAGTGCTTCACAGCCCAACTCCAAGTGGGTGAGGAAGAGCAGCCTCCCTAGGGGCTGCCCACCACCCTCCCTACGAATTCTGCTCCATGCCCTGGTTCCTGGGTCATATGCGCCCAGAGATGGTAAGCATTTGGGTTTAGATAGCTTCTTTCTCAGTGTTGGCAGAAAGTAGATTAATGCCTGCAACACTTGAAGTAGCTGAGAGGATACACTGCAGATGAATGTGCAAAGGGAAGCAGAATGTACTTAGTGTGTTCCTACATGCCTCAGGATTGACTCTGTGGGGCTGACATCCACCTAACTGCTGGGAACCTGACACTGGGCTTGATGGTCAGTGTGACATTTCATTTCTTACTGAATTGACCAGCTGTTCTCCATGATTTCTGTGCATTTTTGTCCAACTCGAAATTTTCCAGTGTCCTCAGCGGAGATTTACCAGTTGTTTTCATGCTATCTGTGATCATATATATTCCTCCTCCTAATTGGGAATAATGGTGTGTGTGTGTGTGTGTGTGTGTGTGTGTGTGTGTGCCTATAGTGTGCCCTCTATACACTTTAGTCAAATTCACAAGGAATTATTGGTATTTACAATGAGTAACTTAAATGGGTGCCCCCCTCATTTAAGGAATGCAGATAACAGGAGGGAGCAAGCATGTGACCCCTGCTGTCACCACAATTTATGCAACTCAGAAGCAGGGACCTCATTTTTATTTGATCAGCAAGGATTATAAGGTCTCCACTCTTGAATCTTATAATTCAATCTAGAGTGGACCAGTCAGTCCTTTGTAAGAAAAATCTGTTTATAAAGTTCCATAAATCATAACCTTTGCCCTCATCAGTTTAATAAATGTTTTCTGTTTCCATATGAATGGGGAAAAAAGAACAGAATAGCTCAGTTGGTCATGAACTTGTGCCCTGCTGATAGGAGTCATCATCCTCAATGAAGGATGGTGCATTTACTGGCAGAGGATCTAGACTAACAGGAGAAACGCTGAGGCTTTGGGAACAACTCCCAACAGGCATACCTGCTAATCTCATGGCCTGGCTTATTCCTCTGATGAGATGGGTCAAAAGAAGGTTGACGCTTTATCATGGAAAGGTGAAGCAAACCCCGGGCTGGGTTTAGCACCAACATTACCCCTAATAGACATTTTGACATCAGGCAATGATGCATTTATTTTTATCTGCAACTTCGGCATCTGAAAAAGAAAGTGTAGGACTGAATGATCTCACAGACTCCTTCAATTATAAAATTGTTGATTCTAAGCCTGTATAAAGTACAATAAATTACATGTGTCTTGCTATCAGAGTTATTCAAGTCACATATTAGATCATGCCTGTCATTACTAGAAGTGTAGAAACTTTTTGTTCAATTTCATTATATTTTAAGTCATTTTTAATGATTTCTGGATTTTTCACTTTGAATCGAATATTGCTATTTACTTACCAGCTAAGTTCAAGTACTGTTAACAATAATCTAAGTTATACATTATTTCATTTCTCATTCTATAAATTTACTTTTAATTGTCTGCTATTTTCGACTTGCTTTTACTCCGTGTAGAGTTCATTTCTGAGCTAAGAGCCTACTCTACTGCCTGGTGGTTAGCTGGGTGTGCAGGGAAAGGCACTATTATCCAAGTAACAGGCTTATTTTCTAAGTGGAATTACATCTGGAGAAGGGCAGTGGCGACGAGTACCTTAACTTAAGCACATCATTAGAATGCAAATGACAAGAATGGAGCAAAGAATTGTTTTTTAAGAGGATATTGAGGAGCCTGGGCAGAAATGAATGAACAACATGAGCACCTGAGCATCTCTTTAACTGTGAGGAAATCACTAATAAGATACCCAGCTGAAGATTACATATAATTATCTGGCTCACATACCTGAGTCACTGAATAGAGAAAAAAGGGGTTGCTGAAGATTTAAAGTAAATATTTACCCTTCCAAAATTTGAAAGCAGTTTTGGTTTGGGAGAAGTAGTAATTAGGCTGCAGTGTTCAGTATCTTGAAAGCACGAAGTTTCACTGATTTGGAAAATAAAAGCTTGGATTAAAAAGTCAGCTGGCACAAAATTATCTTTCAAAAGTGAAGGAGACACAGAGACTTTCTCAGACAAACATAAATGGAAGGAATCTGTTGCCAGTAGACCTGTAGGAAAGCTACACCTGCTCCTGCCCCTCTACCTGCCTTTGACTGACATTTGCCAGATCTTGAGGTGCATGTCACTACAGACCTAATTCAGAAGCATCAAGAGGGCAGCTGTTGGCATCTCGGTTCACTTTACAGTCAGCTGCTGTTGCTTAAAGCTGTTGAAACCTTACCAAAAGCAAAATAAGGTCAGCCCAGACAAGCAACTTATTTTTGACAAAGCTGTTCAACAAGTAATTGGCTACTCTTTCAAGTAGAATATTTTGAACTAGAAATCTTAAAAGTTAAGGCTTCATTAAACACATATACTGCTATTGCAGAAATATCATAAAACATCTTTTTAATGTGAACACTACTTCATACAATGAAAAACTATTTACAATGTGTTGTTTCCAGATTGGTTGCTTTTACATCATCTCTACCCATGTGCTGACTCGGCATGTGTCTTCAGCCAGGGAGCTTCAGTCCAATTGCACATTCTCCTTGACGGCTCTCCAAGGTCCTTGGGGGATTCAGGAAGCCTGTCCACTTACATTCTCTGTAGTTATTATGGCTCAGCAAGCATGCCACCAAAATCATCTAGAACCCAGAGACTCTGGCAACCCCACATAAGTAAAAATGCGTAGATCAGGTTTTTTTTCTCCAATAAATACTAATTTGACAATCCAATCCATTTCCATCTTAAGAAATTGTTTTCACTTAGGAAAATGTTTCTCAATGGAACTAGAGTGAATAATCTGTTCTTCATACTGGAACTGAGTTAGGATGTCTTTGTATACAAATATAGCATATTCTGGCCAGCAATATAATTGCTTGTTAAAGAGTTTATTTGCCTTCACACGCAGGATTGCTACATACATTCACAGTTTTAATAGACTGTAATTAGCTATTCCAGTTGTGCTTTAAAATTCCAAATATTATCTTCATTAGTGAGTGCAAAGCACATGTCCCATCTGACTACAATTGGTCCTAGAGTTATAAACTCCATAATGATTTATTGTAAGTTTCCTCATTCTCCAGTTTCATCATTTGCTTTTTCAGGTATGACTTCCAAGCTCCGGCGTGGCTTCTGCACATCAGCATTTTCAGTGCCTGGTTTATTCAGTCCACATGAAACAGCAGCAAAATGGATTTGTTTCAGGTTCTCCAAAGTCTCGTTCTTAGCATATTTCAAAAGATCTGCTTGTCCCTATAGCAAAACATGCAATTAAACAATATTAGAGATGATATAACTTAGTGCTATACTTCAACAATATAGATCTTTCACTGAAATAGAAGTATTTTGATTCCACAAGAGGGCATAAGTATTTCTTATTTGCACTGCATCTGAATAGGTCAATTTTAATAAAAAGTGAGTTTGTTTTCCCAGTTTCAACACTACACTCCAAGAGTACACTGCCTTTCTGGCCCTTTCTATTTATAGATCTGCATGGGGTTCTGTGGGCATGAACTATTCCTGTCTATTCTGATTAAAATTACATCTTTCATTAGTTGTTTGGCCAATCTTGTTTTTTTCCCTTTTAAGGTTTGCTTTTTCTTTCTTTTTTAATAAACCTTTTTATTTTGAATAAGTATAAATTCACAGAAGGATAAAAATACAGTACAGAGAGGTCTTATGTACTCTTTCCCAAATTTCCCCCAATGGTTATGTCTCATATAACTATAGCATAATAACAAAACCAAGAGCTGAGAGGGGTACAAAGTGTGCCTATGCTTCTGTGTGACTTCATGACATGTGTGGGTTCATGCAACCACCATGGCAACCAAGGCACAGCACTGTGCCATCACCAAAGGGAAGTCACACCCACCCCCTCCTCTCCACCATCCCTAAACCCTGGCAACCACTAATCTGTTTTCCATCTCTGAAGACTGGCTTTTGAGCCCACACAGCCTTTGGTAAGCACTGGCAGCCGTGGGCACACAGCAGGTTCTCACTGAGCAGTTGTGAAGGAAAGAGTGAAGCAAAGGATTCTCTACTCTGGATACACTTTCTCAGCCAAATTTTAATTCCTTTTATGAGGTATGATCATCAATTTGATCTATGCAGTATAACATGATGTAGATCAGAAAACACTAGGTGAATTGAAGCACAGTCATTGGGAGTCTGGAATTGGTGCTGACAATGGGCCAATGAAGTTTGTCACCCTCTTTTCTCTTAACATTTTGGGCCAGACAGTTCTTTGGAGGTGGGGAGCTGTCTTGAATAGTTTCTGATAATCTAGCAGCACCCCTAGCACCTCCTCAACTGTGACAACCAAAAATGTTTGCAGACACTGCTAACTGTCTCTTAGTGGGAGGGTGAGATACTCCCGGTTGAGAACCACTGGGCTAATGCATCAGCCAATTATCCCAAAATTATCAAGCAGAAGAGATGATGTGGTCCTCTATTGTTGTAAATCCCAACACACTTACTTTGCTTTTTTGTTCTACTTTTCTTTTCAAATTTAACCTGCCTTCCACTAACAGTTTTTTCTACTTACACTGTTACCTTTCTTTCTTTCTTACTCTCCTTGCTGGCTCTTTTTTCTCCATCCCCTTGGGTTCTCAATGAATTCTATTCTATTATTTTCTCTATAATTCCTCTGCAGTTTGACTTTTTCTTTGTCATACTTACACCTTCTCCCCCTTTCCCCCTCTTTGAACTGCCTTCCAGTGTACGTCCCCTTTAAGGCATTCCTTTCCAGCAAGAGCTTGGGGCCAGCTGCAGAGGGCAGTGGGTAGGGACTTACCTTGGCTGGCAACTGGACTATAGTCAAATGTCAGCTACTGGTGAGATCAAATTGCAAGGCAATTTAAACCATCATGAGGCCTAAATCCACAGAACAGTTTGCTGCTTACCACTTACCATGCATGGTTTTCCTGCTTTACAGAGTCCTTTAATTAGTAACTATAAATAGATGTTCCCTTGCTTAGATTAACTGAAGGAGCTTCATTTTTATTCATTCTTACTAGTCACTGAACTCGTATGTTGAAAATTTACTAGTTATGAGTTCTTTGTATATATATCATATTATGTCAGGAATATAATTTCTTGTTAAATAGTGTATTTCCCTTCACAAACAGAATTGCTACATACATTCACAGTTTTAAGAGACTGTAAGTAGTCTTTCATTTGTGTTTTAAAACTCCAAATGTTATTTTTTTAATTAATAAACTTTAATTTTTAGGACAGTTTTAGGTTCACAGCAAAACAGGGCAGAAACTACAGAGAGTTCCCTATGCTCCCTCCCCACACAAACCCTCTCCAGTAGCCACATCCCACACCACAGTGGTACACTTGTTACAATCAGCGAACTTATGCTGCCACATCACCTCAAGTCTGCTGCTTAAATTGGGATTCATCCTTGGTTTTGTATATTCGATGGTTTTTGAAAAATGTATAACAACTTCCATCTACCCTTATAGGATCAAGCAGAATAGTTCCACGGCCTTAAAATTCCTCTGTGCTTTGCTAGTCATTCCTCCCCACTCCCAACCCCTTAGCAACCACTAATCTTTTTACTGTCTCCGAAGTTCTGCCTTTTCTACAATGTCATATAGTTGGAATCACAGTGTGTGGTGTTTTTGGATTGGCTTCTTGCACTTAGTGAGATGCATTTAAATTTCCTCCATGTTTTCTCATGGCTTGATAGCTTCTATCTTTTTAGTGCAGAATAATATTCCGTTGTCTGGATACACTACAGTTTATTTATCCCATTCATTTACATGTTCGTTACTTCCAAATTTTGGCAATTAAAAATAACTCTGCTACAAGCATCTGTATGCAGATTTTTGTGTGGACGCAAGTTTTCAGTTCATTTAGGTACATTCCAAAGGGTATGATTGCTGGATGATACAGTAAGAGTATGTTCAGTTCTGTCAGAATTACAGGCAGTTTGACAGTTTCTGCCGAACTGTCTTGTACCATTTTGCATTCCACCAGAATAAATGAAAGCTTCTTTTGCTCCACATCCTCACCAGCATTTGGTGATGTTAATTTTGGATTTTGACTACTGTAATAGATGTGTATTGGTATCTTATTGTTATTTTAATATACAATTCCCTAGTGACATGTGATGCTAATAGACTTTCCATTTGTGTATATTCGTTGGTGAGGTGACTGTTCAGACTTTTGCCCAGTTTTTAATCAGGTTATTTCTTTATTGTTGAGTTTTAAGAGTTCTTTGCTTACTTCGGAAAACAGTATTTTATCAGATGTGTCTTTTGCAAATATTTTCTCCCAGTCTGTGGCTTCTCTTCTTGTTCTCTTGACATTGTCTTTTATAGGGCAGAAGTTTTAAATTTTAAGGAAGTCCAACTTACTCATTCTTTCATTAATGGATTGTCTTTGGTGGTGTATCTGAAAAAGCACTGCCATATCCAAGGTCACCTAGATTTTCTCCTGCGTTATCTTCTAGGAATTCTATGGTTTTGTGTTTTATCCTTAGGTCTATGATGTATTTTGAGTTAATTCTTGTGAATGGTGTAAGATCTGTGCCTAGATTGATTTTTTCATGTGGATGTCATTTTTTTTTTCATGTGGATGTAAAATTTTTCCAGCACTATTTGTTGAAAAGATGAAGTCTCTATTTCACTGTATTGCCTTTGCCCCTTTGTCAAAGATCAGTTAATTATTTTATATGGGTCTATTTCTGGGCTCTTCTATCCTGTTCCACTGATCTATTTGTCTATTCTTTTGCCAATACCACACCATTTTGTTTCCTATAGCTTTGAGGTAAGTCCTAAAGTCAGAACAAGTCAGTCCTCTGACTTTATTCTTCTCCTTTAATATTCTGTTGGCTATTCTGGGTCTTTTGCTTCTCTCTTTGAACTTTAGAACCGGTTTGTCAGTATCCACAAAATAACTTGCTAGAATTATTTTACTATTTATTTATTTATTTTTATTCTTATGCTTACTGGAATTTTGATTGAGATTGTGTTTAATCTATGTGTCAAGTTGGAAAGAACTGATATCTTGACAACATTAAGTCTTCCTATCCATATATGTAGAATATCTTTCCATTTACTTAATTCTTTGGTATATTTCACCAGAGTTTTATAGTTTTCCTTATATAAGTCATATATAAGGTTTTAGATTCACACATAAGAATTTTATTTCTGGGGGTTCTAATGAAAATGGTCTTGTGTTTTTAATTTCAAATTCCACTTGTTCTTTGCTGGTATATAAGAAAACAATTGGCTGGGTGGGATGGCTCATGCCTGTAATCCCAGTACTTTGGGAGGCTATGGCCTGAGCCTCAGGAGTTTGAGACTAGCCGGGGTGACATAGCAAAACCCCATCTCTATATAAAAATCAAAAAATTAGCTGGGTGTGTTGGTGTGCGCCTGTATACCAGCTACTTGGGAGGGTGAGGTGAGAGGATCACCTTAGCTCAGGGATGTCAAGACTGCAGTGAGTCATGATCATGCCACTACACTCCAGCCTGGGTGACAGTGAGACCCTGTCTCAAATTTTGTTTTCTTTTAAAAAAAGAAATTGATTGATTTTTGTATATTAACCTTGCATCTTGCAACCCTGCAGTAATTGCTTATTATATTGTTCCAGGAGATTTTTTGTCAATTCTTTTAGATTTTCTACACAGATGATTATATCACCTGTGAACAAAGACAGTTTTATTTCTTCCTTCTCAAGATTCATACCTTTTATTTTCTTGTCTTATTGCATTATCTAGGACTGGACTTCCAGGTCAATGTTGAAAGCAGCAGTGTCAGAGAAATCCTTGTTTTGTCCCTAATCTTAACAGGAATACTTTGAGTTTCTCACCTTTAAATATGATGTAAGCAGTATGTTTTTTTGTAGATGCTTCTTATCAAGTTAAGTAAGTTCCTCTCTATTCCTAGTTCACTGAGAATTTTTATCATGAACGGGTGTTAAATTTTGTCAAAATTTTTTTCCGTATCTATTGATATAACCATGAGCTGTATCTATTGATATAACCATGATACAGCCTGCTGATGTGATGAATGACATTAGTTGATTTTCAAAAGTTAAACCAGCCTTGTATACTCAGTATAAATCCCATTTGATCATGGTGCATAATTCTTTTTATTCATTTTTGGATTTTAATTGTTAATATTTTATTAAGGATTTTTGCATCTGTGTTGATGAGAGATACTGGTCTATTGTTTTCTCTTCTTGTAATGTCTCTGGTTTGGTATTAGGGTAAAACTGGCCTGGTAGAATGAGTTAGGGAGTATTCACTCTGCTTCTATTTTCTGGAAGAGGTTGTAGAGAATTGGATCATTTCTTCTGTAAATGTTCAGCAGAAGCCACCAGTGAACCTAACTGAGCTGATGCTTTCTGTTTTGGAGGGTTATTAAATGTTGATTTGATTTTCTTAAGATATGGAATTATTCAGATTGTCTATTTCTTCTTATGTGAGTTTTGGCAGATTGCACCTTTCAAGGAATTGGCCCATTTCATCTAGGTTTTCAAGTTTGTGGGCATAGAATTGTTCATAATATTCCTTCACTATCCTTTTGGTGTACATAAAATCTATGGTGATGTCCTTTCTTTCATTTCTGACATTAGTAATTTGTACCATCTCTCTTTTTTTCTTAGTTAGCTTGGCTAGAGACTTATTGATTTTACTGAGGTTTTGCTAGGACTAGCTTTTGGTTTTATCGATTTTTTCTCTATTCATTTTTTGCTTTTAATTTCACTGATTTATACTCTTATTTTTTATTAATAAAAATCAGTACCTACCAAAAATGCCTATCTAGCATATACTCTTGGACATCACATGTCCAGTTGAGTTTTTGATAACCTGCTACTACTCCTACTACCAGCTACTCTTCAGTCAAAGCAACTCCATTCTTGCAGTGACCTGGACCAAGAACCCAGGTGTCATTATTCACTCTTCCCTTTTTCTTCTATCCATCATCCCACCTGTCAGCAGGTCCTATTGTCACAATCTTCAAAACATATATATGAAGTTTCTCACCACGTCTTACCATTCTCACTGCCACCACTGGTTTAAGCCACCATAATCTTTCTTCGAGTTTATTCTGACTGGTCTT